ATTTGTTTTGGATGACAAACACCCAATGTAAGGCCGTTCTCTTTCCTACGCGCTATCTATCTCGGGATAGAAGCGAGTAACGTTGCCAATCAGATTGCTGCACTTGTGGTAGAACGTTGGTAGATTTGCACAAACTCGAAATAGATAGCAAGTAGCGTAGCTAGTTATATTGCAGTTGTTAAAATGGAATACTAGAAGATGTACAACAAAACAATAATTCTCTCTGAATATGACAGACGTGACTGGATGAGGTTCATACACAAAATGAGGGTTATAATTTTATTTTCTACATTTTTTCTTTGTTAGCATCAAAATTTTGGATGCGTAATTGTTTACATTTGCTTTTTTTTTAGGCGACATTACATCAAGAAATGCGAACAGATGTTTAAACTACAGACTGAACAAGATGCAGAACAAGTATGAGTATTATCACAGTGAATTTTGAGAGCTTTACATGATCATTGCAGTGAGAACATAATCAGTTGACAGATATTTCGTTTTGGTTTCACAGGAAAGCTCAATTCGCACAGCCAAGAGTACCTTACAGGTAAAGATGATCGATAGAAATTGAAATTAATCTTTAATCATAGCTATAAATAGACAAGCGACTTAAAAACTAAGCGCACAATCTTCGTGTTTCAATTATCTAACAGAAATCTTAAATATTTATCTTTCTTCTGCTCCTCTTGCAAATTACTGATCCGGTTTTCATTTTTTCGTTACTAGGCCGTTATCTTAGCTCGTACAAGATGTGACGTCAGTTTAACAGCACTAAGAAACGAAATCCCGGATGTTCCAAGTACAGAACGGAGCACGCGCCTTAAGCGACGAATGAGTGTACCGGAAACTAGAGAAGAAGTTGCCTTAGCAGAAAAACTGTCAGCGGTGGTAAATAAGGAAAAAAAACCAACAAAATCAAAAATTCTAACTGATCATTATAGGTCTGAGTTAACAAAACAGAGACCTCATACATCGCACCACGCCACCATGTTGAGCCCCAGGACCCCGATCTCAAGTGCACGTCCTGCAGTTCGAGAAAGTCTGGTGCCGACACCAGTAAACATTTCAAATCAAGGAATACAAAATTTGCGGGCTCAAAGGGAATTTCTCAGTTGAGAAAGTTGTGGAGGATGATGTGTATGATTTTATTTCTTCATTACTCCTGCCTTTTTTGAATGCGATGTGGTGTCATCTGCCACATTTAAATCGGGTGCGTTGTATAGAAAGTCAATGATAATTTGTATAATGATAGCGAAATGAAATTGTGGATAATTTTGATTATCTACAATTTCATTCCACTATCGTCAATGCTGCTTTGAAAAGAAGTATTGTTTTTTTTTTCTTTTTTCGATTTTTGGCACTAGTGTCTAGAATTCTAGTAAAAATCACGTGGCAACCATAGTGGAAGTCACCCAACATGGTAGTCATGACGTCGTGCTATGCAAAGGAGGCACGCAAGCTTCAATTAGGTCGTCACGGGATGAGTTGTTGCGTGACCACCCTAATGGCGTGACTTACAAAAATTTGACTGATTTGTAGTTACCATCTACAGATAGCGAAAGAAAATGAATTGATAGCTGACTCTTTAGGTCCCATCACAGAATTATCTCAAAAACCTGCTTGTTATGGTTTTTTTTAAGGAAAGAAGGCAAAACGACGCAGTGAATTTCACAGCATCACCACATTGACATTGAGTGAGAATTATTATCAATTTGAAAAAGTATCACAGAGTTAAAACTAAATAAACATCAAACCATGTGAAATAAAACCTGATGTGGTTGTGTTTTTTTCGAAGTGAATTATTTCGTTTACGAAAAGATTACAAACCCCCATTTTATATCATCTGGAATTAATTCATTTCGACCCTTAACCCTTTAACTCCCAAGATCTGATTGTTAATTCTCCCCTCTAAACTAGCTGCCACAAGAGAACTGCTACGAGAATTTGGTGCTAGATCAAGTTAACAACTTTTACTTGATGAGTATGAGTATTCTCATTACCTGTTTGCTAGAAAATTTATGGATAGTATAGGGAAAATTATATCTTGATCACTTCTGGGAGTTGAAGGCTTAATCAAAACTTCGTTCACTCTAACAGTTGATCATTACAAATTAAAATATGCAAGGCTATTGAACATACGTTCGTATCTGATCACACAAAGATCATGAATTGAGTAATTACGGGGCTGTTCCAAATCAGAACGGCTGAGAAGATGGCTGTTTTGCTGAGCAAATGCTAATAAGCTTATTGTGAGAAGCACTTCACAACTTGGAGATCACAAACTTTGACTATAATTTATTACGACTCGACTTCGTCGTTGCTCAAATTCGCCGTCGATTAGTGTTACCGTCATAACATAGTAAAGCAAGCTTGTGGTTAACTTGGATTTTGGAAAACCAAACCAAACATTGCACATAGAGTTAACTCGTGTGTGCGGTTGGTTTAGTTAAAACTAATAAACTCACCTCCATCAGCAGCCTTTCACGGGAGGCTGAGATTTGCCCTCTCTTGCCGCTATATAACCCTTTCTTTACGAATTCTCTCACAAGTTTTCACGCATTTTATCGCGGGTCATACAAGGCAGTCAGACCATGCTAAACTGATTCAGTAATTATTAGAATTTTGCATACATTGAAGGAAATTTACAAGTTTGCATCATGCACGTGGAATGGGTAAAGTGTGCCGGTCGAATTTTTTAAGGAATTTTTATTATAGTTTTCTCGCCCAGGTTTTAAAACAAAGATGCTATAACTTTTCTTGATATACGGCAGACAAGTTCACGAGATAGGGTACACATCGGTCGAGTTGTTTAGGAGTAAATTAAGTTAATTCAATTCTTAGCGTTTGATACAAGAGGTCACTTTTGATATATTAAAATTCTAACATGGCTCCGAGGCTATGGGGGAATAAAAAAAAAGGAAATTAACTATTAATCCCTCAACCACGATGTGATTTCCTGTGTGTTATTCCCCCAAGCCTCGCAGCCGAGTTTGAATTTTAATATGTCGAAAATGGCCTATTAAGTGGAAAGACGTAAATTAGTATTCATACTGAACAGTTCGTCAAATATAAGTCATAGGCAAACTTTCCTAATGAAGGAGTGAGTTGAAAAACTCGAAATTTCAAAGCCGCCTCTGCCACGATTACCTGGAATTGTCCCTCTTGAGTGAATATGAAACATTTTGATGACAACTCATGCTTGAAGTTGCGGCCATTGTTTTGCCTCTCAAATCTTTTGAGCGCGAATGAAAATGTGGGCAATTAGTAAGCGAAACTGTCATTACCTAATCAATATTGGATTACTTTCTGTTGGCTTCTTAAAGGCAAAAAAAACCTTTTTTATGAGTTCGTTAGTCGCTCCTCTCAAACCCGTAATTTTGGAAAACTGGTGAGTCTCGACCGCGACAAGCAATAAAAAAAGCAATAGCCAGTCCTTTTAGTAAAAAAGAATCTATCTCATATTAGATACCTGTTATTTACAGTGGCAGCCCAAACAGAAATGAGCTGGTACAAAGACATTAATTCCTAACCTCCTTGAACTTCACACACGCATGAGGTCTTGAATGTTCGACAAGAATTACACAAAGTTCGTGTAAAACATTAATTAGTTGTGGCGACTGGCCAATAAGAAAGAAAGCATCGCATACTAAGTTTAGAATCACCTATGTCGATTCATTCAAGCTGCTATGGCCTTAGCGGGTAACGCAAAAGGAGGCCAAAGAGCAAAAGGAGTCTTCAGGGCATTGGAAATGGTAAAGATCTTTTCTTTCCTCATCACCACGCAAGGGTTATGATGATGTTTGAGGTACTCTCTTAGCAAATTTCATTACCTAATCAATATTGGATTACTTTCTGTTGACTTCTTAAAGGCAAAAAACTTTGCTATGAGTTCGTTAGTCGCTCCTTTCAAACCCGTAATTTTGGAAAACTGGTGAGTCTCGACCGCGACAAGCAATAAAAAAAAGCAATAGCCAGTATTTTTAGACAAAAAGCGTCTGTCTCATAGTAGATACCTGTTATTTACAGAGGCAGCCCAAAGAGAAATGAGCTGGTGCAAAGACATTAATTCCTCACCTCCTTGAACTTCACTCACGCATTAGGTCTTGAATGTTCGACAAGAATTACACAAAGTTCGTGTAAAACATTAATTAGTTGTGGCGACTGGCCAATGTAAAAAAGCATCGCATAAAACTAAGTTTAGAATCACCTATGTCGATTCATTCAAGCTGCTATGGCCTTAGCAGGTAACGCAAAAGGAGGCCGAAGAGCAAAAGGAGTCTTCGGGGCATTAGAAATGGTAAAGATCTTTTCTTTCCTCATCACCACGCAAGGGTTACCATGATGATGCTTGAGGTACTCTCTTAGCAAATTTCATTACCTAATCAATATTGGATTACTTTCTGTTGACTTCTTAAAGGCAAAAAACTTTGCTATGAGTTCGTTAGTCGCTCCTTTCAAACCCGTAATTTTGGAAAACTGGTGAGTCTCGACCGCGACAAGCAATAAAAAAAGCAATAGCCAGTCTTTTTAGTCAAAAAGCGTCTGTCTCATAGTAGATACCTGTTATTTACAGTGACAGCCCAAAAAGAAATGAGCTGGTACAAAGACATTAATTCCTAACCTCCTTGAACTTTACACACGCATGAGGTCTTGAATGTTCGACAAGAATTACGCAAAGTTCGTGTAAAACATTAATTAGTTGTGGCGACTGGCCAATGGAAGAGGAAGTATCGCATAATTCTAAGTTTAGAATCACCCATGTCGATTAATTGAAGCTGCTATGGCCTTAGCGGGTAACGCAAAAGGAGGCCAAAGAGCAAAAGCTTTCCTCATCACCACGCAAGGGTTGCCATGATAATGTTTGAGGTAATCTCTCAGCAAATTTCATTACCTAATCAATATTATCTAACGGCTGAATAGCTTCGAATTCATTTGAATAGTGACAATTTGCCAGGACCTGGGTCAGAAGCTCAAGAAGGAAACTGGGTGAAGAGAGCACCACTCTGCAATAGATATTTAAGGAGTCATGAAACCCACCTTGAACCAGCTATTCTTGATTTTGTGGTTAAATGCATTCGGCGTGAGAAGTGAAGTCAACTTAGATTTCAGAAACTGCTTGCAATACTTTTACAAAAGTACCCCGCCAAGGCTTGCTGGGAATGTCGCTGAACCGCCCAGAAGCATCTGCCAACGGTATAACAATGTCTACCACTATGCCACACTGTACAGCACCGGCTTAAGGATTCCTGTGTATTCAGCTTATACCCTGCCTGGTCGTTACTCGGGTACTCCCGAACCACAGAGAAGGTCCACATGGTTTGTCGAGCCTCAGGTAGGTAACTCATTCAACCTCGTAAATTATGAATCGAAACAAGTTGCCGATTGGAAACTTAATTTAAATATCAGTTTGAAGAACCAACGGAATTAAAATCCAGAAAAATATGAAAATTTTTAATTCTCTAAGGTTAAGCCGACAACAGTACATTCATATTACTTGTTCACCAATCGACCGAAGATCATGTTCCACTGAGAAAAAGTGTTCCTGTTCTTGTTCGGTGGTTCCACCAACAGACAATAAACCAATGTTCATCCAATTAAATGACATCAACTTGACCAAGATTTTACTTAAAAAGATTGTATGATTTTAGCTATGATCAGACTTTTTGTTTTTCTCCTCACAGCTCCTGGAAGCCCCTGAAACCAGCCCTAAGACAAATATGGAGACAGCTTCCCAGCAAACTGAACGCTACAAGACAGTACAGGCGATAAACGTAGACTATCGTAACACAGGTTACGACAGGGGTCACCTCAATCCAAACTTTTACCAAAGTGGAGAAGGAAGAACAGCAACTTTTACCTTGACAAACGCCGTTCCTCAAGATCCCTGCTTTAACCAACAGTCGTGGAAGGAAATGGAAGAAGTCGCTTTGAGCACAATGATGGATGGTTGCTCTTTTGACGGCGCCAGACGTTATTTTGTGACGGGAATCGTTCCGCAGGGAGTACGAATTCCAAACAGAGAACATGACCTGGAAGGAGACATGACTCCCAGAGAATTCAATCGAGTCACCGTCCCTAGTTACCTCTGGACAGCGGCTTGCTGTGATGCTTCAAGTACAACCAATCCCCAGAATGGGTTCTCATTCGCTTACATCGGCAAAAATACTCCGGACTCTTTCGTGAACATTCTGAGCGTAAGTCAATTGGAGGCAAAACTTATTAACCATAACCACGTTGGAAATGGCTACACAGCGGCCAAAATTTTTGTTGATGACTGCAATGAAAATACGGAAAAATCAAAAAGTGCACGAACTCTAGTTGCAGTTCCTGTGAACTTACGATTGGCAAATGCAGCAAATGCAATAAGTGAGATGGACCAGTCGACTCTTCCTCCCCTGAAACGCAAAATCTTTCACGAGGTATTGGATTTAATTCAAAGTGGTGTATCTGCGAATGGTTATTCCTTCACTTCTGACAAGGAGAATATGTTTAACAATCAAACGCTTCCCTAGGGGGTAATCATTTCTTGTATTCTCTTGACCTTTATGTTTAAATCAGGAGTAATATTGTAAGGAGATATCAGATGCTAGTCACTCTTGGGGGTCAAAAGGATAAATGAGGATTAATTCAGTTTAACTCCACGCGTCAATTTACGACTTAAAAACGTGAGCCAGAATTCGAAGTCAGAATGGGTGAAAACATGCAAACAATCAACAAAACAAAACAGAAACCCAACCGGCCATGATCTTCTACAACAAAAGCGTGACTGCGTAATGATAGCCCAGTTTCTAAATATGATTAGCTTCAGTTCATGTCACTCACGTACATCCAGTTTTTCTTAGTACCCTCTTCCTCCCCACTCCGCAAAAAAAAAAAGGTGAAACAGAAGCGAGGGAACGTCTACGCAAACCTGACACTAATCGTGTTCCGTGACGTCACTCTTTTGCAAAAAATCGTATAATGACTTTTTATCGGTTAACCCCTTTTGCCGATTCTTTCGTCAATTCTTATTGGCGAGAGTTGGTAATTTGTTTTCATACTAACGAACAAGATGGTGAACAAAATGTTTTCATGGTCATCTTTTAAGACAACAGCGATCTGAAAACATCAGGATAGATTGGTAAAGAGACATTTCAAGAGGAACAGCAGAAAGCCATAGATATGTTTTTTCGAGGGTAACGATGTCTCCGTTTCGTTACCAACTTGCTATGGAAAATCTTTATTATATCAAGCAGAGCCAGTGATCGATCACCTCTCTTCTCCTGGAGAAACCGGTCACTATATTTATTGTGCCGCCCGTTAAAGCTCTCACAGAAGACCAGGTGCACTATCTTAATGTGCTTGGGTCAAGAGGATTGTCAGCTGTTGTCCGCCTTCAACTTACGCTCTCTTTGCGAACGGTGCTGCGAAGCTATTAAATAAAGCTAGTTGTTTCTTGCAGCGATTCTTTCTACTGAGAAAAGAGTTACTCTTTCTTCACGCTGGTAGCGTAACTATCGGCTCAAAGAAATCTTTAAAAATCATGATCTAATGGTCCCACTTTTTTCGACGACTGTGGCACTGTTTATAAATGCAAGCAGAAACCGCGTGGACGTTAAAGTCTAGTTTTGTAAGCGCGATGCCAATCAAACATTGTCCTCTTCTAATTTTATACCAAAATCGCTCATAATCTTTTCCTGTCCTTAAAACAAAGTACATGTCTGAACTCGGACGCTGAATTGCAAATTTAACCGAGAAATGGAAAACGAATTCACTTCAATGTTTTCGCAACCACACAGTGTTTTAACCACACAGCTTCTGAGTTAAGAGACAATGCCCAACTCGCTAAACGCGGAGTTTCGCAAGCAGCCGAGCGGAAGTTCCACTTTAGAGGGACTGGATCAAACTCTTCAGGCTGGTTTAGAAGCAAAGTTCATTTTATCCCCCAAAACACCTGATGGAGAAATAAGTAACCAGACTGATCTCAAACAGCAAATTGAAGTTCATATACGACCAGACAAAAATGTCACACAAGTCACTGTTTGCAACACAGAAAACGGTAGATTCGAGGTGAAATTTATACCCAAAGTACCCAGTGCTTACAGAATTGAAGTGAAGATTAATGGAGATACACTCGCCAACTCTCCGTTCATTGTGGCGGTGAAGGAGTGTGAACTTATCGTGGTCAGTGAGTTGGATCTGAAGTTATTAGAAGGAGAACGCGTTTACATATTCGATAAAAATGGTAAATGTCTGAGAAAAATTGGAGCTAAAGGGCAATTTAAAGACCCATGTGGCTTGACATATTTGAACGATGACGAGATTTTGATTGCAGACACAAATAACGACAGAATACAACAAATTAATATCCAGACAGGAACTGTTATGAAAACCTTAGGGAAAATAGGTGTAGGAATAGGAGAGTTTTATCACCCGACTGATGTTTTTTTGGATGTAGAACGTCGCATGGTTGTAACCGAGATGTCGAGGAACAGGATACAGGTGATGTCACCTGGGGGAGAGACTATTTCCATCTTTCGAAACTTCGGCCCAGACAAATCAAAACACCCAAAGAGCCGCTTGCCTTACAATAAAAAGTTTTTCGTCTCCGATAGGGAAAATCATTGCATTAAAGCTTTCGACAAGTCAGGAACATTCTTACACAAGTTTGGCAAACGAGGCAATCAAGATGGACAATTTAACAACCCGAATGGTTTGCTTATAGACAGCTCAAATAATCTTCTGGTGTATGATCGGTTGAATAATCGAGTTCACCAGTTTTCTCTGGACGGTCGCTTCGCTGTCAAAAGTATCACTGAGTTACCTTATCCTCTTAGAATAACAGCAACATCAGATGGACGTATTCTCGTGACTACCACTGACAAGATTTTCATATTAAAGTAGCTGTTTCAACAGACACTTATTTACTTCGCAGTTTGTATTCTACTTCTAATGGCCCGAATTGTTTCTTTCCTAATGTGCAATAATCGGAGACTGAAATTTGTAAGTTTATTCTTCTTCTCGAAGAAGCTTTGTCAAATACAACTGAACTAATTAGCTTTGAGATTTTAAATTTGGTTTGCTGGTGGCGTTTATGCATATTCGTAATAATGTAGCACGTGTAAATGTTAAAAGGTTCTGATTGTCAAAGAATATTTTGCCTTTAGTACGTCGCGTTAAATACATTATTTTCTTTCAATAACTAAGCAGTATTTGCATATATATTGCTTTCTGCTATTAGAAAGGGCGATACGTGTCAGATGCTGAAACAGACGAGTTCTGACAATGGTAAAAACTGTGTTTACATATTCGATAAAAATGGTAAATGTCTGAGAAAAATTGAAAAATGAAACAGACGAGTACTATGTGACATCCAGCTCTTGTTAGGCCTCGCTCCCGGAAAAAGAAGCCAACAAAAACCAAACCCTTTTTGACTTTGCGAGGTTGAAGAATAACTTTTTGATAGTTCTAGTTATCTCATTACTTCAAGACGCTTGTAAGACGGTTCTTAATTGTTCTCCCCATTGTTGCATTGAAAAAGAGGAAATGGAAAGAGGATGTTTTTTTAAACATCAAAATCTGCCTTTATTTGGCAGATGGTCATCAGTGAAAATAAATGCTAATGAATTAAAACATATTCAACAAACAAAGAAGCCTTGACTGTGCTTTGTTTTGTAGTAAAGCAAGTAGGAAGCGGCTAGAGCACATAAGAAGTGTAGGGGGAAACACGAGACGTAGGGGAGCAATTGAGTGAATAATCTGATTGATTGTATAAGACCACTGGTCTTATTCAACCAAACAGATTATTCTCTCAATTGAAAGCTTTCTAAACTGTCAAAACTTTCACAATCTGTAATAGTTCATAAACTGAAATAGTACGGCAGGTTGGATTCAACACTGTGACTTCTGCTTGAAGTTTTTTTCTTAATTAAAAATCTGAAAGTGAAACGTTCAATGAAATCCGGCTGAATTGTGGCTCATATAAACATGCAAGCTTTTTAGCATGACAATGCTAAAAGAAACCAGTCACAGCGTGTGTTTTATGAATGAACGACAACATGAAGATTTCTCGGGGTGAGAGTGTCGGCTGCCGTGACTAATGTGGCCTTCCACTCAACTAATTGGAAAGGATTTATGGATCGGAAGGATCAATATAATGAAATTGCAGAATTCAAATCTTCCCCTCTATTTGAACTCAAAGATATGATAAACAGTTTACTAACCTCGTCTTCTCCAGCCCCAATTTATAAGCTGCGCACTTCATACCTGGGCCATAGATCCGAGCGGCCGGAAAATAACCTGGTCCATAACATACAGTACGGAATTCGAACTCGGCTAGCAAGAGGTGTCAATATCGAGCGTTTCTTAATAGCCATGCTCTAACTCTTAAGAGTAAATGATCATTTCCAACGTTCTCAACGGTGAGTGCGGTTATGAGTGCTGTTTAACAATTTCACGAGTCACTTTGGTTTTCTATCACGTTTTACAACCAGCGCACGATCCCAAATTCTGCATTCTGAGCGACTACCCTACTCGTTATCTAATCCTTGATAGACGGTGAGTAAAGTGACAAGGCTTAAAAGGCTCTTGTATCTTACAACCGCAATCATATTGCAGGATTTATGATAAACCACTGGTAGGTTTAAATAAATACTGTTTGCCCTTCTGACGAAGGGCTAACGTTCGAAACGTCAGCTTTGTAACTCTTTACGGTGGCCAATTTACGCTATCAACTCCGTTGATGACACTATATTACCCTGTATTAATGCTAAATCTCTTTCGATCTTAGAACTGTAGGCTCCTCACTTTGGATCCCTCATTCTCTTGGTAATTCTGAATGTTCGTTTCGTCAGTGCTGAAGGCAAGTTTGTACTTCTTTACGTGCTCAACAAACACATCACGTCCAAGAAAAGAAAATTTCTAAGTTCAGTTTTATCTTAATTCAGGGTTTCATTTGCGTCAAATGTGTTATCTGTACAAAAAACAATAAAAACAAACAAAAGCCAAAGCAAAAAAAGGAGAGCTATGTGTTCTTAGGTATCGACACACGAAGACCATAGCCATGCGAAGAAAGAAATCAGCGACTGATGAAATAATTCTTTCTCACATCTAAAATTAAGACATATATATAGCGATCGCAGAGGAGAATTCCTATGCTGATCTTCTCATTCTATCTCACCTTGTATAGCGATTCCAGTAATGGTCTTCATTTGTTTTAAGTCGATTCTTAGCCACTGTTGGTTCAGATCCACTGCACACCAACTGCCAATTCGTTTGCTGTCGTCATCAACTTCAAAATAAAGACGAGCGTTGCTTGCCGACACCCATCAGCCGCCACCTGGGCAAAGAACTGAACGTCATAAGAAAAAACAGACGGTGGTTAGCGACATTCTGTACTTTTGAAAATAATGGCCTCGAAGTATTCGAATATTCTCTCTTTCTCTTTGAAGACTTCTACTACTTACTATTACTGTGTTACCTTGCGTTGCTACTGCTGTGATCTGCTTGACTCTTTCCAGGTCAACCTTGATCCACTGTAGATCCCTGCTGGAAGCACAGCACGCTCTGATTCGCTTGCGATCCTGATCATCCTCAGAATACAAACGTGCATTCCTTGCACTGACTACGTAACCACCACCTTGATATACAGACATAAGATTGGTCAACCTGTGGGTGTGGTAGATCTTTTAAGCTAACGAACATACTCAAATAATGTGATGCCCATCAGAGATGAATGCCAATACGAAAGTGAATTTCTATCTGGACAAGCATGAAAATGAGACGCTCATGTTATAGAGAATTATTCGTTTTAGTACATTTTGTAAATTAGGTTGAATAAAGATAAAAGGATTGGAAAAGGGAAATTAAGATAGAAAATTTGACAATACTGAGTTGTGTTTGATTTTGGTTCGATGGAGCGATGTAAAATTTTACAAAAATCATAGTTCGAGATGTTTTGGTTTTTGTTCCTATTTCGATCCTTGCCATGTAATTAGAATTGCCGGTAACCAAGAGATTATAAGCAGTTTATATTCTCGTGCTGGTAACAAAGTACTAAAAGAGAAGTGAAAATGCATACCTGGGGCCATTCTGATGAGGCACTGAAGGCGCTGTTTGGGAGTTTGTAATCCAAACTAAGACCAAGAGAACTTGCGCAAGATCCTGGCAAAGGTAAAACAGCAAATTAAGTCCTGACTTTTTTTAAAAAGAAACAGTACTGGGTTGCTGTGCGTTATTGAACAAAAATCGTCCTCAAAATGTGGAGAACTGTCTAGCCTTAGGGCCTCTTATCGTCAATTCGGCTTTCATCACCAGCAAGGGTGCCAAGATGTACCTTTTCTACGAACCCGTTTTGCCAGTTTGCACAAGCATGAGGTTTTCCCTTTCACTCCCAAGATCTAAATATAAATTCTATTTACTGCCTTCTATACGTTTTTGAGTCACGTTGGCTGTAAGAGTTTGTTGTTAAATCAAACAATTTTCCCTACTTGGTATTTTCCAGTCTTTTCACCACTTTCTTGCCCGAAAATATATTAATGTCGTATGGCCCTTGACGATAGATTGTCTACGAAACTACGACTTCGCCCAATTTTAACCTTTTAACTCCCAGGAGTGACCAAGGCAGAATTTCTCCCTACAATATCAATATAATATCAAGCAGACGAGCGATGAGAACAATCTCCTTTCCTAGATAACTTTAACACAACTTTCATTCTTGTTGAGTGTCATTTTATGCCATAACCCGTTTTCAGGCCTGGTTTGAATAACATACCGTCTCTACTCTATATCATCCTTTTCATTCGACTGCTTTAAAATCGTCGCATCCTTTGATTCAATGAGCAAACAACAAAATTTTATTTTTTATCCGCGTTAGCGTGAAAGATCAAGTTACCAACAGTTGTATATGTTTGAGGATAGACCGTGGGGAGGTTTAGGCGCGTAAAAGATAGGAAAGAAAATAAATCTTGAAAATCTCTAAATGCTTTAAGAATTCGCTGATTAATAATAGAAAATACTATTTCGAAGTACCTATACATACCTAGACAGACCAACACGAAATGAGAAAAAACTAAGAGTTAGTTACTTTTTAAAATTGGAAACATCGGTTGAGTCTTGGGCGATGTTCCCATATTATATGTAAAGATGTCTTTCCTTTTTCTGTATAATTTTGACACCAGAAATATTGAACCCGTGAACAGTGAATTGAACTTGGCTAACTCACTCAACAACTCTTTCATTTTAAGGAATTGATCTTATAGCTAGTGTCAAATAACAATAAACCGTTCCTTCCAAATAGTCAACACTCAGTTTGAAAATAGCCTGAATTCAACCTTCCACCATCGAAAGCCATATTGCTCGAATGAATAAGCGCCACACTGAGAGTAATCCCTTCTCACCTACGCGAAATTCCGCCTCATCCCAGAGGAGGGGGGGTGGGGGATGTTTGTAAGAACACTGCAGACCATTTTTTTAGACCAATAAATCTGAGAAAAGGAGAGTTTGTTTTCCTAATTACTGACGGCAATATCTAAAAGTGAAGGCTTACTAATAGCTCCAGTGAATAAACTGTCTTAGATAAAATACTCTCCATGACCGTGACGATAGAAGACGATACCCAATCAACTTCACCTTCAAACTCAAATTAGCTTCAGTTTTATTGGTCAGGACCCAGTTATATAAAGGGTGGATAACACTATTAAACTGATAAATCGCTATCCAGCGGATAAGTGATAGCAAATGTATAGCGTTATCCACCGGACAGAGTTTTATTCAGTGGAAAGTGTTATCCGACCTTCGAACAACTGGAGCCTGGAAGCTATAGGTGTCATTGATGTCGCTTTTCAACATCCTATACAACAATTCGTTTAAGGAGTATCAGCCATTGGCTTATCAAAACTTGTTCA